TGATTTATATGTTTCCTAATTTTCCAAATTAATGTGGCAACTTCTATACATTGTAAGTCCCACAATTGGGGAAATCGATTGACAATTTAGTTCAAATTATTTCGCAATATGAAGTTCAATAATCTGAAATCATTTGCGAAATAACTATTGATTTTGGAATTAAAATAAACGAAAAATAAAATGATAAATAGTTATTAAATTAATTTGAAATATTGTTTGATTATATAGTATTAGAAACTTAATATGTGTGTGTGTGTGTTGTGTATTAATTAACAAATATTATTTTTAAATAATAATATTTGACAAAAAAAAATTAAAAATTTACGGAATTCCGTCCGAAACACAGTTTTTCGTAAACAAGTGCTTATATTTAATTTATCAATATTTTTTTTTATTCTTTTAACTCAAAAAAAGTTTAAGCTGGTGTATTTCTTGAAAAAAAATCAATTATCCTAAAGAACGAAGCATTTTATTGTCTTGTTTTCAAGTAAAGACTGTAAAAAATTATCCGCTATTTGAATTTCGATATAGATGGTGCTAAAGTATTAGGTCCTACCCGCATTTGTAAAAATGATTAATAAAAAATTATTTGTTTCTCTACATAATAGATTTATGAAAATAGTTCTATTTGTAAAAGTTTGACAGTCATATACTACATAAACATGTACCAAGAATTTTTCACGGTGACGCACCTTCAAATCATGACAGGTATAATTTTTTTATTCAGTGGAACACTTGGAAGAGTAATTTGATAAGAAAAATTTTGTTTACCAATTCAATAGAACCCCAAAAAAATTTAAAATCCAAAATTTTTACGTTTTTTTAAAAAATTTTATAATTTTGAAAAACTACTCTAAAATTGTACTTAGATACCCCAAATATCCCAGTCTAACAAATTCCAAGAGAATTTTATCGATTTTTAAACATTTGTCCGTCATACACTACATAAACATGTACCAAGCTCGGTTTTTTGAGTTTTTCAACGTGACGCACCTTGAAATCATGTCGGGCATAATTTTTTTATTAAGTGGGACACTTGGAAGAGTAATCTAGTAAAAAAAATTTCGTGGATCAATTCAATAGAACCCAAAAAAAAATTTTGAAAATTACTTGCATAGTCTTGCCACTAATTTAGAAAACGCTTCCTAATTTCATTGTGAAGAATGTTTTTGTTGATTTTATCTGTAATCGTCTTCGTTGTTTTGAGGAAATTCTGCATTTTGATTTTTCTTTCCTCTCGCAAGTCGTGAATAGCTTTAGGGGTAGGAACGTAATATGGAGCTATCGGAATTAATTTCAATACTGGGGAGGCCTCTTTCACTGATTCTTTCATTGTAGAACCAGATATATTTAATGGCTGATATGTATCGACCTCCATTAAATTATCTTCTTCTTTCTTAGATGTGACACCATTAAGAAGTTCCGAAATATCGAAGTTACTGTACGCTTCCTCGGAATCTTCTGCGGAGATTGTGGACCATAAACAGCAGGATTGAAATTCAGTAACTCATCGATTTGATTGATGACCTCGGACTCTGTCATTTCGTCCGTGATCATAGGTGATGTGATAAAAGAAGTGCTGGAGACATTTCTTCATCCGCGTTGCTGTCTGACCCGAAGATTCCTTTATTTGGACTTTGGTTGCTGTTTCGACATGTTGATTAGACGAAGACGAAGGCAGTAAAACGTTTAATGCCGAGGTGGGGCAAATTAATGCAAATTCTTCTTGCGGAGTTAATGATGGAGGAGCGAATGATGGAAAATCAAACAATTAGAGTGTGTGGTCATCGCCATTAAGCGATAGTCGCGAGGTAAGGAGAAGGGAGGGGGAGGTTCCAATGGTAGAGGAGGGCTGAAGTAAATTCTATTGCTGTATTTATTAATCTCTTTGCAAATGTGATCCGCACGATAATTCCCCCTGATACCGGAATGAGAAGAAGACTAAATAAAACTAGGTAAATATAGTTTTTAACGAAAAAATATTTCACAGAAAAAAAGACGATCGGGCTCGCCGCTGCTTTAGCCGAACGTACAAATTTCTTTGAGGCTTCCATGAAATTACATTTTCTGTCAAAGATAACGCCCAGGTACTTATATTTGTTTGTTACCTCAATTTTTTCTTTTCCCAATTTAAAGCTTTTCATAGACTTGATCCCGCTGTCCGAGCCATTTTCAAAAATTACTATTTTTGATTTATCAAAATTAATTTTTAGTACATTCTCTTTACAATAATGATCCAGAGCCTCAAGTTTTTTATTTAATTCTACAGGCGTGTCGGACAGCAGGACCAAATCGTCCGCATTAGCCAGTTACACTATCTCTATTAAGCGTCGACTGAGAGACCTCTACAACCCTGGTCCAGTAGGAATTTTTCGAGATCACTTATATAAAGAAAAAAAAGGATCGGATTTAACACTTCCCCCTGTAATAAGCCCCGCGTCACCTTGACAAACTCGGTATTTCCCTGATCTGTACGCACACAGGCGAAAGCCGTATCGTAGAAATCTTTCACTATGTTTATAATTTTGGAGCTAACCCCCAGCTTTTTGGGCTGGAAATAATTTTTTTTGACAATTTTTCACTGTAAAAAAATTAATTATCTAAATAAATCAGTAATTAGTTAATTAATTTTATTTTTACAGAGAAGAATTGTCAAAAAAATTATTTCCTCAACGCAACAATTTTTTTGCAATTTTTCTGTGAAAAAATTAATTAACTAAATAAATCAATAATTAGTTAATTAATTTTATTTTTACAGAGATGAATTTGAAAAAAAGTATTTCCTCAACACAACAATTTTTTTTGGGCTGGAAATAATTTAAGTTTATTAATTTTTAAAATTATATAATATTGAATTGATAAGTAATTAATTGTCATTAAATAATAAATTATTTTTTGACAATTATTTAATTAATAATTATTTAATTAATTAATAGTGTATCAATAATTAGTTAATATATTATTAATTAAATAATAGTCAATTAATAATTAATTAAGTATTTAATTAATAATCAATTAAATTATTTAATTTCTATTTTTCTTTCGATTTGAATTTTCATCTATAGAGACCTCTACATATTTAATTTTCTATTACGCTTTTTTTCTATCATGTATACGCCCTTCTTGTGAAATTGCTGTTCTTTGGGCTTTAAAGCCCGATCGTCTTTTTTTCCGTGAAAAGTGTACTTACCCTAAACTCAGGTATTATCGACAGTTGACGATTCAGGGATGTGCTTTCTAATATTCTATATACCAATTCCGGGTTATTTTTAAATTTCAGGCAATTATTTATGCGAATTATGTCCGAAAGAGAATTGGAGACAATTAGAACCCTGTTTATATTATGTTCTCTGTGGTGAAAATTGAAACTCCCGGTTGGAGTGGTAAACCGCATGAATACCGGTTATATTCGACACAAAAAGCCGCAGAAGATAGACCCGTAAGTGGGTTTAGAGAAGCGCCAGTAAAAATGACTTTAAATTCCGGATAAGATGTCCGTATATGATCATTAAAAAATTAGTTGGGTGTAGGTTGGTCCTTCTCCAAGTGGCCGATCTCCAAATCACAGAGCATTAGATCGTCAGCATATATTGTAAATTAAAAATTTTTTAGAAGTATATTTTGTATATGTCGGAGGTAGATGTTAAATAAAAGCGGGGGCAGAACTCCTACACCACAATTTCTCTGTTCATAGCCATCACTGTTAAAGGAAATATATATGCGGGATGTAATGAAAGAAACAAAATGTATGATATTTGGCTGTATGCCAAGTTCAATTAGATCTCTGTTCAGTAGTGCTGACCGCACAAAGTTAAAGGCACCTTTAATGTCAATCCAAAGGTCTGCAGTGTGCGAAGATTTAGCAAAGCCATTCGTTATATCAGCAATCATTGCTGCGACGCAGTTCTGGGCAGATCTTTCCTTACGGAAACCATCATGGTCCAATCTGCCATGAACAAGTTGCTTAAAGATCGTGCACAAGACCGAGGTGAGAGCAATGGGAGGAAAGCCTCTCTCACCGGGCTTTGGAATCCAACAAACACGAGTCTGTTTCTATGAGTCAGGAACATTCGACAAAAGAAACATGCGATTGAAAAGAAGCAATAGAAATTCCAGCACCAGAGGGCCAAGGCCCTAATCATCTCACCGGTAATACCATTCAGACTAGGAGCGGACTTAAGTTTACAAGAGTCAAGCGCCGAACTAAATTAATTGTTTGCGAAAGGTAAAAAGTCGATCCTATTAAAAGACAGGAGTAATCAATAAGAGAATGTCTACGGAGGTATTTCCTCATTAATCAATTTCTCCTTGAGACGCATCATTTGTGGTGAAAAAGAATCAGTAGAGACATTACTATTTAACCTACGAGATGACAGTGCCTTTATAAACGCCAAAGTGTTTATATATAATAACCGTAAACTCTGTGGCTTCGAGATAACAACAGAGCTTTTTTAACGCGAAAATGTCAGTTAAGCCTTTCTCTTCGGTGGAAATGTAGTTTAACTCCGCAACTCTTAAGGGCCTGTTTATGCACATAATTAGGTAATTGTGATTCTCCTCTTTCTGTTTACAAATCGCATATTTAATAAAATAATTGTAATAAATTATGAAACATAAATTGAAAATTAAATTGAATGGACAAAGAATAGAAGCAACAGAGACGGCCAAAGGCTGTCGGAGGCGCTAGTTTTATTAAAAGATGCGTCTTAAAAAACTCTACAAAATTAAAGATAAATATTCATATGTGTCCATACATTTTTTTAAAGTTATGGGCAAAAACGATTTTTCAAAAAATTTAAAATGTAAATATAATAGTTATAATAATCATTGAAATTGCCGTGAAAGCATATACATTTATTACTTACTGCAAGCTTATCTTAATGTTACCCGTGCAGTTCGCAAATCTTATTTGTCTGCTCTAAGTAAACTTACAGCAGAGCAAACATAACTCTCATTATTCAGAATTTTTTCTTATATTATTATTATTTTCTATTTTTCAGATCTCTTTGAACAATTGTTACCAGTTAGTGTATATCACTCTATTTCATCTTATGAAACTCGACGCAGTGAAGTAGTGAACGGTGAAATTTCAAAACTACGTGAAATGACTCAAATTCTCAACGGGTAAGAATCTAATTCTACCACATTATAGTTTATAGAGCTTCTGGTTTTTAATAATTATTTTCAAATACTATAAATTATATTGTTACGCTTATATTTAATTTTGTTGGTACGTGGAATTTGTAAAGAACCGTACTTTTTTAATATAAAATATCTAGAAATCTTATACTTTCGTTTCGAAGATTAGAGAGTTTAAAGATTAAATTAAATTAATTTTTTGCCAAATAATAATATTAATGATTACAATAGAATTAATAAGAATAATTTTATTCTTTTAATTATCAAAATAAATTGATTTGATTATATTTAAATAATGCTATTCGCAGAAACTTTATTGATGATTTATTCATTAGTGGAAACACTTAATTAAAACAATTATAATAAATGGACAAGTATTATTTATTGAACATGAAATTCGTCTGGTCATAAAAGATGATGTTGAATATTATTATCAGCTAAAATAATAGAATAAAATTACGTGATTTCTATTATTCGTTCGATATCATGCATTCATCAAAGTCACTCCACATGTGCTTTTTAAATCGATTAATATTTAGCTGTGTACATTACCAGAGATGCTGTCGATCGTTCTGGTTACAATTAAGAATTGTTGTCCGTACGAATATCCAAGAGTTGGATGATTGGTAGGACGAGACCTCGAGATGAGATGTTAATACTGAGAGAGTGCAATTATAATGGGAGAGATTCCATAAATCTGCTCGAATTCGTCTTATAAATTATCCAACAGTTTCCCTGCCTGGGTTACAATGTTGCTCCGCTCAATAAGTGGATAATTCTTATGCCGTATAAAATGTGCCACGCTATAAAATTAATTTACTTTTATAGCGCTATTTTAAATTAATCAAAAGAAAAAATATAAATTTAATGATAAATGTCTCACCTGAACAACGGAGAAGAGATATATTTACTGTATTTAAATTCACAATATTTAACGTTCACACATGGCACATATACGTTAAAAAGATAAATGAAAATTTATATAACAAATTTTCTAACTAATAACATTACAAATTTGATTTAAGTGTTTATTGAATAAACGTTAGCAATTGAATGATTAGTCTCTCTTTTCGAGTTCTCTCCCGCCCAGTACACAATTATCGGCGAAGATTGCAAAATAGCCGAATCTTCACGAATCGTTCAAATCCATCGACTCATAGATCACAACACATACAATCGTCGATGGGACCACTACAAATTAATAAAATGTTTTATACTTCGGAAGTCGTTAACAATGTTTCACACGAACATAGAATATTTGAAATATGATATTTAAGAAAAGAATTAAATTTAAACGAAATTAACGATTAGTTTAAACATACTCCCCGGCCTTGCGGTAAAATCGTAATATAATTCTGTAAACATACAAGTTCAGAAAATTTTTTTTTTTCACACAAGATTCGAATTTACAGGGAGCACACATACTTTTGAAATTGGTCGTACATATTGTGATTTCGCTGTTTTGATCGTCACAACACTTACCAATCCAACCACTCCGGGATTACAAGCGATCACACGACCGAGTTTAGATATTCACGCGTCCATCGACGCCAGAAGTGTTCGAGTAATTTTTGATAAAATTTCCAGCGAGACAAACGGTTGTCATTAATTTCGATGACAGGCGGAGTGGGAACGGCAGCCATGGCTGTCCCAATAAAAAAGTGCCCTGGGGTTAAAACCTCGAATGATTCGGGATCGTCATTCAATGGGGCAATCGGTTTAAGCAAGCTTCGATTTGCGTTAAGAGAGTATTTTATTCCTCGCTCGTTGGGGTTGAAGCACCGAGAATTTTGTGTAGGTGACTCTTCACACACTTCACGCCCGCTTCCCACAGACCTCCGAAGTGAGGTGCATGCGGAGAGGAAAAATGCCTGGTAGTGCCGTCGCTAGCGAGATGTGCAATTAAGTCTCGATCTTTGGTCAGTGTTTTAAAGTTTATAGAACTTTCAGCACCACGAAAATTTGTATCGTTGTCGGTGTACACATAACTGGGGATTCCACGACGCGAGACAAATCTGTTGAAAGCGGCGAGAAAAGCATCAGTGGAATAATCGTTTACCAATTCCAGGTGAATGGCGCGAGTCGAGAAGCATACGAAAACCGCAATGTAAGCTTTGTGAGACTTACTACCGTGTCCAGAGCTTGAGCGAACTTTGACTGGTCCGGTGTAGTCTATACCGGTATGTGAAAATGCTCTCGATGAAGAACATCTAGCCAAGGGGAGATCCGCCATGAATTCAACACCGGTACGTGCTTTGTTTCGAGTACAGATAACGCAACGATAGATAATTGATTTGACTAGCGATCTCGCCCCCAGGATCCAAAATCTTTCCCGTAAAACCCCCAAGGTCAACTGAATGTCAGAATGCAGTAAATTCGCGTGCAACTGACGAATGATTAGTTCAGAGATAGTTCGTTTTGGTAGAATAGCAGGGCATTTTCGACCTGAGAATTTGACTGAATTTTTGTGGCGTCCGCTGAGGCGGAGGATTTTTAAATCGTCAAGAATGGGATTTAATTTTTTCAGCTTCGAAGTTTTTGAGAGTTCGTGACGATTCGAGAGTAATCAGCGGCTACGTAGGCCGCTTTTGATGCGTCGGAGAAACCGTGCAATTCAAAAGTGAAAACGTTCCCATGTTTGCTGAACTTCTTTGGGCAAGTGATCGTCCCAAGACGGAACATTTTTTCGATGTCCGACGATAAAACAAATCGATGTAGTCTCCATCTTAAGATAATAGACGGTAATTACGGTAACACGGTTTTTTATGCGATATGCATAAAAAAACATCCTGATGGTGAGTTTGCTAAATCTTCAATTCAAAGCCTAGATGAACTTGCGTCTATATTAGGTCCAGAACAAGTGGGATGGATTTCTCAAGACGATAAGGCAAAAGTTCCCTTAGGTTTTCCAGCTGCTAGTAAACAAACCTCTGTGTTAATGCATATCGAGTACAGAGTTCAGTTACCTGATCACAATTGGGTGATAGCAGCTAAACATAAATTAACACCATCTGTCTATGCTGGCATTACTATTGAACCTCATGGTTCTGGTTCTCCGGAAGCTGTCGGATATTCAGGTCCTACGTACCTAACAATATAAAGTGGTAAACACTCTTCTAGTACAGCTGCTACGCACTCTCATGATTTTGACAATTTGGTTGAGTTAGATTTATTTAAATCGATCCTAAAAACACACGATGGTAAAATAAAGCCAATATTAATGATGACCGCTGACGGGGGTCCGGATGAAAATCCCCGTTACCCGAAAACAATTTCATTTGCGGTTGAACATTTCAAAGCTTATGATTTAGATGCCATTTTCTTAGCCACAAACGCACCAGGTAGAAGCGCTTTCAATCGCGTTGAGAGGAGAATAGCACCTCTGAGTAAACAGCTTTCTGGACTCATTCTTAAACACGACCATTTCGGTATTCACTTAGATAGTTAAGGAAAAACAGTAGATTCTGAATTAGAACTTCGAAACTTTGAGCATGCTGGAAAGTTATTGGCTGAGATATGGTCAGAAATGGACATCGATGATGATGAAGTTTTTGCGGAATACAAGGATAACACAGAAATATTGTCTGAACCTGTGGCTGTTGATCCTGTTTGGTATCAAAATCATGTACGTGAATCTCAATATTTTTTGCAGATTTGCAAATGCGAGAAACAAATGTGCTGTGGAAACATTCGAAGCAATATTCGAGATTTTTTAATAGATGGATTTATTCCTCCACCATATCCTGTAGTACAGACGCACAAAGGTCTTGTTATTCCTCCACCTTCAGAAAGTAAAAATACTAAATTTGCAAACCTTTTTACTCGGTTAACTTTAAAAAAAAACTCCAATTAAATATACAATTAATCAAAAGGAAATTCCTTATGACTTATATTGTCCATCGGTTTCCTTAAATTTAGATAGACGAGTTTGCCAGGAATGTGGAGCATATTTTGCAACAATAAGCGCTGTGAATAAACATTCCCAATCAATTCATGGTTCTAGAGTAAAATCGAAATGTAAAGTAAAATCAATTATTCGTCGCCGTAAAGAAGAGATTCTCTGCATTGCACAGTGGGGCCAAAAACACGTCCGTGGACAAATTAACTTAGAGCCTACAAATTTCAACCGATTTTGACGTTCTTTGAATTGACTTAAAGGTAATAAAATTCCACACAGCGCTGTCGTTTTTGTTTTTTTAAAAAAAAAATTTTTCTATTGTTTATTTATTGTTAAAGTTGAAAAATTTTTTTTTTCTTCTCTAAAAACTACATAAGTTTTTCAAAAAGGACGGTATTACATCAACAAAGCCTAAAATTGTTAAAGCAATGATTTGAGAACATTTTCTGAGATTTAAATAATTGTTTAAAAATTTTTTTTAATTGTTATTAACAAATTAGCGGACTAAAGACGATTTAATTGTTTTTTTTACTTTTAGCAATTGAAATGCATGTAATCTTTTGTATTTAAGGGCCAAAAGTAATTAACATTGAAAATAATTATTATAAACTAATTATTGTTATTTTTTAAACAATTTTTATAAACAATTTTCTTTATCTTAGTTCTTTATAACTAAATTATTTAAATATTGTGTTCAGTCTACTATATTATTACTCAAGATGAACAAATATTGCTAAATTTTGACAATTTTCAACTTAGCTTTGTTTAAACAACTCTTAATTAACAAATACACAGTGACGTTGTTTTTAGTTGTTTCAAATTCGTTTTTTTTCAAGACTCCTTAATTTTTAAATATTTTTATATTACACCGTCCGACACGATTTTTCACACATGAAAAAATCAATGATTTTCAGAAACACCAAAAAAAAGATACCCGTGTCTGTCCGTTTTGCTAGATCAGGTCATTTTTTGCTTTTAGAGGTAAAAACAGCCCTTAAATGAAAGGTGATAGGAAATCTTGTACAAATTAATAATTTTTTATGAAACCTGGTATCTCGGGGTTTTCCGGGTCGCTGATTACGAATCT